CCCCCCCCCCCCCCCCCCCCCCCCCCCCCGATTCCGGAAGAGCAGTCTATATTCCCTGTGCCGTGGTTTCTACAAGGGAGTTGCATGTGTAGCTTGTGGCGGCATGTCTTTTGCTACGCGCTTGACGATAGGTGTGCGGTGGCATGTCGGCGTGTAGCTCGCAGGTACTCCATGCGGAAATGATGACGAAATTGTGATGCACTGAGGAAGAACAACAAGAAAAACGGGGAGAAGAGAAAAAGTTTTGATGTTGGGTTGGGTGGGGAGGGGGTGCCGAGCTGGGGCTCGTTGAGTGTTGTGTGGTACAGTATACAAAACGTTTGTTGCAAAAAAATATTATGTAGAGTTTCATAAGTTTCTTGGAAGCACGGGCAGGGCGCTATTTGCAGGTGGTGGTGGATGCCAAGGCTGGGGGCGAGAGAGAGAGAGAGTGCTTACAGTGTTTCTGCAGCGATTAAGGGTGTCACTGGTTGGTTGGAATAGGCCTGGGGGTGCCCGTGCGTGACTGAAGTCTTAGAAGAGCCAACGGCCGACGTTTCTCTCCCTCATGTGGAGCAACTATTTCGGGGTGTTTGGGTTTTTGGCCTCGCGGCAATCCCACCAAGGAAAAAGAAGTCTCTTGAAAAAGTATCCAACGAACTTAACGAGGAGAATTCGAATGTTTCGTTGCCGACGGTTTTCTGGGGCCAGTTTTAATTCCGTCGTTTGATTTCCAGAAACGTTGTGTGCAACCACTTTGGGGTAGTTGGCCTGTGGCCACTGGAGGCGTCCGCGCCAGCTGGACCGGTACGGTACGGATGTCGGAGGGTACTGAGCGGAGACCGGAACGGTCGTTTGTGTCGAGACAGCAATTGCTAACAATGTGGTCGTATTCAAAGAGTAGTATTGATGGACGCTCTTTGTGACATGTGGTACATTCGCGCACGGCGCTCGTTTTTCGAGGACGGATGCAACTTAGCAGACGTGTGCATACAGCGCAAGAGATAGCATCGACATTGTTCGAGCCTTGTTTCGACGTTGGAGTTCTTGTGTTGCTGCGTTTTCGAGGCGGTCGAAGTGTGCTACTGTTTTAGTAGCTCGGCTTGGGCGTTGGCTACAAGAAGAGCGCTTAGGGGGGAGGGCTCCGTGCTTTTGTCGGTTCTGTGAGATAAGGTTGGGCGAAATATGGGTCAAGGTGTGTAGCCATCACGAAACATCGTCGTAACCAATTGATTGCTGTTTTTATTTTGATGTTTGTTTGTGGAGTGCGTGATCGAGAGAGAGAGAGAGAGAGAAAGAGCGACTGGGAGAGGGTCACGAGGACAAGCTCTCTGGCGTCTGGTGCAAACGTGAATGATCTCGAATGTGAACAAAAATGTGACGTCTTCTCATGTGGAACGAAGTACTTGGGGTGAAAGTAAAGCGAGTGAAACCGCTGTGGCAGGCTGGTGCACGACATTTCATCCCAAGTGAAAATAAACTAAGGGTGGAGCCCGACCAACTACCAACATTGCCGCTGCCGACATCCATTGGAAGGCAACCATCTCGAAGGCGGCGGGCACGCGATAATTCGGAGAGACGAATACCTCAAGCCACGCCATCTCATTCCAAACGCCCAGATGAGGCGAGCCGATGCCAGCAAACACAGCAACATTCAGAGACCAGATATGCATGTCATGATACTTATACTTTGTGACGACACGGGCAGGCGACCTTGTAGTACTGCCTTACGTTCGTTCAAAGCACCCCTCCGATATGCGAAGAAAGTGAATGTTTTCGTGCCCTCGCTAACCATGTGCACCAGCACCCCTAGGCGTACCAACATCCAGTGTATGTTTTACCTCCCAAGACAGAAAAAAAAAAAGTTGGACAGCAGGGACATGTCGCTCTCCCACCTCCACCTCCACCTCCACCTACCAAGCATGACACCTACCACACACGACTCTATCTTGTCCCCTTGTGTACCGCAAAAAGAAAAGGGACCGTTCGTTGTGTCGCAAACCTACAAATGCATACCACGAACGAGTGCTCAGCAGAAGAAACAAAAACGCACCAGGTGCTTGCTCTGCTTTCATAAGAACAAAAAAAAAAAAACATCTACCTTGTTGTAGCTGGCAGTCAAAATGAGCAGTCGCGGGTGTCCGTCCGCAAGCAGATGGCAGGCAGGCGATCTGTCCCCGACGCACATACACAACCCGGCTCTGTACATGCTGCTGCTGCTGCTGCTGTTGCTACAGTCGTTGCCCTGCCCCAACTGACCCAACACTTTGCAGTCAAGCCGACCGATTTCACGCGTACACACCGTTCAAGCTATGTAGACATCGCCACGCCTATTAAATTACTGGGGTTATCAAGCCTCCGAGACATGCTTGTACTCCGGATAGCTTCTGTCGTGACTCAATCGGCGATACGATACGAAGTTACAAACACGATGGTTGTAGGAGTACCAGACTGCAATCTCCCGAACCGAAACCATGGTTCCATTTCATCGCGGGCAGGTGTAGCCTGATACCCCACTTCGAACCACACTACAACACTGTCTGTGAACCCCCCCCCAAAAAAGAACCAGCACGCCTCGGCAGTTACTGATGGTAAGAAGAATTTATCAATCCAACAACAGCCCATCTCTTCCTCGCCTCTGGTGATAGAAATACAGCGCTCACTAACGATACGATAGCCTCCCACTTCCAACCTCCAGTAATTTTCGTGTCACCAGTGGGCGTTATGATACACAGAAGTACTTGTATGTCTATACGAACTCCTGTTGCCGGAACAACCGGATAGAGGGACAAGACTGCTACATGCCTCGAGCAGACAAGAAAAAAAACAAGTACCAAAAAAAAAAAAAGGCAAAAACAGCAGCGATCGATGCGTACTGTAGCCTCGACTGGAACCTGATCGAGTCGCTGGCATTACAGCATCGAACAAAGGCCAACACAGGCGAACGAAACCAACCCCGACTGCATCACTCAACTGCGTGAAAGCCAGGCACACCCAACCCAAATGACACGACGCATTCCGATCCTGATACATACGGGGATCGGTCACGCCATACCGTGGCGCTGATACATGCTTCGACCGGGCACTCACCAGCCTCACCAGGTCCAAATTTCAAATTTAGTCACCAGACCAACCCATAGCGGCAAGGTGCTGTAGATGAAACCTACATTCCATACACACGCTGCTGCGATGCTGCGCACGAGTCCGAAAGAAAAAGTGAGAGCTACACCCGCACCTCTCGCCCCGCAAAGTCGTGCACACAACGCCCGCGGTCCTGGTACATCGGCCCCTGCTTAGCGATAACCCCTACCGTATATATGCAGCGACCAACAATCCCGTGGCGCTACCGTATGCCGGCAACAGCGAGCTGCCCTGAATAGCGACCGAATGCCCTCCTGAAACAATGAGTATTAGGGGTCGCGAAATCGAACCGGGCTCATTTTGCAGCCTAGTCAGATAGATAGCCCCTTAGCCACTAAATATTGAACAACCAATCAAAACAAACCACGCCGCGATCCCGTGACGAGATTGCGAATAACAGACTAATAAAAGATGAACCCGCCTTCCCTCCCTCCATACCGTAAGCCACGAAAGGGAGACACGACACAAAAGCCCGATCGATTTCTCTGCCGCAAAAACAGTTACGGTGCCGTTGGCATTGGAAACCTTCTCGTCGAGAGCTTTCCGAGAACGTAAATCACTCCTCGTGTACATCCTCTCCTTTCGTGCAGTTGATCGAGCTTCAAATTCTTTCCATGTGGTGCGCTTATCTTGTGCGGCCTACGGTAACATGTATAGCCCATTCACTCTACTTGTACGAGCGTGTACACGTTCCGCTCTGGTGTCCCCGCGTGGCAGAACATGGGGTGGTGCGCTAGCGTGCGGCGGACGGACGCCTTCCATGCGGGAGTACGACGGAGGCTCGACTCGCTCCTCCAGTTCAACCGCTCGTGGAAGTGTTCCTAAGGACAAACACGACGGCGGGTAAAAGGGTTGTGGTCGTGTCATCATGACATGATCATGCGGTCAGTGCGGGGAGATTGGGTTCTATATCATCGGGGGCGGGGTTGGGGAAATCCTCACCAAGCGCTGACGGATCATCAGAACAAGGAACAAACGGCGGCACTAGATTGGTGCCATTGCTATCGCCCTGTAGATGGCCGTGCTACATGTATCCCCGCGATTATTACCCTCCACATCGTCCACATCTTCGTGATTGGACATGGACGTTACCAACAGAAAGCAAACAACCAGACACTGCACAAATACACATCGGTGGACGGACACTGCTGCGTTCGCAAACGCTATCTGTTGGGTCTTATCGAGGGGAAGCATGGCCGCATCCCACACCACGTTTGTCACCATACTGCACGGGTTTCCCGCCAGTGGCTCCCGTCGCCTTCCTCCCCAAGGAACCCTAGTAAAAAAACCAGTAACCTCCCATGTAAGACGCACGCACGCACTGCCACGACAAAATCGGAGGGGGGGAAACACTTTTAACGTCACCGTCTGGAGCTCGGGACACGCTTAAGCAATGTCCAGTTCCAGTTGCCCTTGGGTGAGATCTGGTGCGGTTCTTTACCGCTTACCTCGATGTAGGCGCACACTGTTGCCAGGTTGCCTTGACGACCGGGGAGCTTCATGAGGGCGGTGCGGATCATTTCGGCGTACGGCGGCTCGTTATCGTCGTCTTCGTCTTCGTCTTCGTCGCCCCCTGAAAAAACAACAAAACACGGCGCGGTTCAGTCCGAGGCAGGCACGCAATAGCGGTGCATGGGGGGGGGGGGGGGGGGGATACTCTAACGTTTTGCATGCCTTAGCGGTTAGACCATCGAACACGCGTCCTCGAGAGGACGGAGCAATGTTCAACAGGACCGATCACCGATGGCCAACAATCGTTCCTTCCTGCTTTTGCCAAAGGTGGCTCAAGAATGTTTTCCCCAGTCCATCTATCCTATCAGCGGACGGGGTACTCATGCAAACGCATGCTCCAGTCGTTAGACCATTGACCTCGCGTCTCTTCAAAATGCCGGGACGGAGCGATGTACCCGGATTTCTCTGGCGCCGGCGATGTTATACAAGGATGAGCCAGAAGCTGGTCAGTATCCTGCGTTAGCTGTGCCAAACCAGACACGTCACGGGGGGCTCGTAAGCGGCATCACGCTGGTGGTTTAGCGGTGAGTTGTTCCGTGGTGTCTGTCTCCCGAGGTCGCGACATGACACAGCAGTGGGCGCGATTCCTTTTCGGACAGGCGACTCATTTTGATTGGGTGTTCGATAGAGCCTCAGGTGCATGCGATCGAGGCAACACTTTCAAACCCCGACCCATCAACAAGGCAAACACCGAAACCAGATCGAATTTTTTCGGCGGAGAGATTCCTTTCCATAGAAAGGATCAAAATCAAGAAATAATCGATACGTCAGCGTCGAGGCTCAAGACGTGAGTGAGTGAGTGAGTGAGTGAGTGAGTGAGTGAGTGATAATAGAACCGAAACACGCGTCAAGGCTCCAGACCACAAAGACAGACCAAACGTGCAGACTCGAACCCACCGCACTCGAGCAAACAAAGGGGGTCCCATGCCTTGCGCCAGGCGCGTCAGAGGGCGGCAACCTGGCTGACGGGGGCAAAGGATCAGGCCGCACAGCCACCAGTATCGCTCGAATGGCTCGACTGGATCTCGTGCGGGCGGCCTTTCATGTTTTCTGCCTGGGCCATCGTTACCTCCTATCCTCCGGGCGTGTACTCACTTACAGTTGAGCCCCGTCTGTCCAATGATGGTCTGGTCACAACCGAGCATCGTCTGCTGCCACACGTACAGCTACAGCAGGGGTATAGCAGTATTTAGTGTACACCCCACCATACCCACCCATTGGATCGTCGACATCATCCTCTACGGCGCCATCCACGCCGCCACGCCCACCGTCGCCGCCGCCGCCGCCCACCGTTTGTGGCGGCTCATCGTCTTGGGCAGGCTTGCTGTCGTCCTCTTCGAAGCCCTCTGGGAGAGGCACCACGTATCGAGCTGGCAGAGGCCGTCCGGGCGTGCGCCCGGTGTCGTCAGCATCGTCGTTGAACTTGACCTCGATGCGCCTCTCCGCGCCGGGGGCAGGCTTCGGGACCTGTGTTGAGGGGGGGGGGCGGGGGGGTACTCATGTTTTGCATGCCCTGGTTGATAGACCATCGACCTCGCGTCCTCGAGACGATGGAGCATTGTTCCCACAGGACCGATCACCGATGATGGCCAATCGTTCCTTCCAACTTTGCCAAAGGTGGCTCAAAAATGGTGGTGGGTAGATATCAGCCGTATTATTAGTTCCTCTTCGAGAACCGTGGGTTGTGTTGTACTTGCAACAACAAAAATAGCCACCGCAAAAAGTGATTTTTTTCATTCAACAGCCAGGGTTACTTACCTTGCTAGCAGCAAACCAGCCGCTGCCGCAGCAGCAACAACAACAACAGTTTTTTTCGTCAACAGCCACGGCTATTAACAACAGCAACTCCAGCAGCACCAAAACCAACGACAAGAACAACAAACAAGACGCCTCCTTACCCTGTGGATAGTGCCGAGGTAGAAGCTAGTCGTGTCGGGGAACACCGCCAACACCCTCTCGCCCTTCTGCACTCCCTTGGTGCTGTCCTCGAGTCGGATCACCAGGGACCGCGGGGCGGTGAGGATGCCGATGCCCTCCTTGTCGTCATCGTCTTTCAACTGCACACAAGACACAAGACACAAGACACAAGACATAAAACACAAGACACAAGATACTAGAAACGCGGATTAAAAGAGTCCCACAATTGTTCCGATTTAGCTCAAGAGGAATGTTTACTTTCACGAGCGGGACACGGTGTACAACTGTTGTAGCTCTGGGATGCTCGACTGCAGGCGCAAAATGTGGCAGCATACTCCAAAACTAGCTCTCGTGTAGTGTGGTCAACGGCACGTGGCGGAGTGCGGCAAAATACCACAAGTTGACCCTCAGCACAAGCACCGCCGTTGCCACCACCCCATCTCGTCGTTCGTACTCGTACGCACAGTGTGCCTGTCCGTCCCATCTATTCTAGCTCCAGTCTTACACCGTTGCATATTTGAGGCATCAGGCGGCGCCACACAAAAATAATCAAATACAAGGACTTGTTGATTCCATGTAGACAAGGAGCACAAGAGCAGCTCTTCACCAACGTGTGTACGATTATGTACCTCCGGAACCTGAGCTACCTCTGGCGGTACAGCAGTAGCATGGCATTGTTGGCTCACCTCGTACTGGTGCGTTTCCGGCACGTACTTAATCACCCGCGCAAGGATCCACGCTCCTGGCTCCTCCCTATCGTCCCGCACCGCCACCTGCTCTCCGTTTTTGGCTGGATACAAACGACGGAAATAGAAAAGAGAGAAGAGACGATGCAACATCAGGCGGCCATCCGCCACTGCAGTACTCCGTAACGGATGGACCTGACTCATCGAGAGGTTTTCGCGGGAACAGGCGGCCAGAAGCCACGCTAAAGCTACATGTCGCGCAAGTTCAAAAGAGAGCTGTTCACAGAAGACCGCAGTAGCGGTGGACAAAGTGAACGATGTCTTCTTCATCAACACCCCCAGACACGCCTCGCGCAACCACGAAAACGGCTGCAGGTTCCCTGCAAGAGTCCACATGTGTGAAACAGCCGTTAGCTCAATAGTTTAGGGAAGATACACACAAAAGCACACCCAACATACTTTCTGTCAGGGGGGCACGCAGATAGCAATATTGAGAGAAGAGTCCTGCCAAGCAAAACTCCACGTCATGCTCTACTCTGCGCCTGTGCAAGCAGCGTGCTGTTGCCTCTGAGGTTCTCATTATTTCTTGTCGGCTAGTAGGCCGATAGAACGATGGAACAGTGGGGGACAAGCAGATTAGATCGTCAAGATAGGTTAGAGTACTTTAGTGATGATCCCGCGAAGGACCACGACAATCCACACAAAACGACCAATACTTCGGAGTTTTATTTTTGTTGTCTTCACTTCGACGAAACCGCATTTTCAGCAATTGTCAGCAAATACTACGGAATGCGCAGCTGCCGGAGGGATGCCTCCATAAACCTACCCAGCATCTTGTGTCACCAACAGCTAACTGTCTTTGGCGTCCAAGGTCGACCAAGATCAAGAGAATCGTTAGCCACGAAAACATAATGCAACATATTCTCATGAACCGCCCCTTCGGCAGTTGTGCGTACCGTACCGCCCGCAGTCTACACCTATACCATACGGTCTCGCTCGAACAAACTCCGGTGACTCTCGAAAAAAACATTTTTTGGGACGGTTGGCAGTACATCGCTCGTCGAAAAGCGGGGAATCGTAGAAATACAGGTTGTAGTGCATTTGCTAACGCTATGGGTTCACTTTCATTTTATCCTGGACTCTTGAGCTGTGGGGTAGAGATGGTTTCATTGTGTCGTGCTACAACCCCTCGGTCTGTTCCAAAGAACAAGGGCTATTCGCATACAAGCGCGAAAACCACAATGATGCCTATATTTCCTAACAGATTGGCATAAACCCAAAAAACGGTTTCATCAACGTACCTCTCCAGCCCACGCCGCCTTTCCTCCTCTTTCCGGGAGGGGCTTTCACCCCTGCGTCCCCGGTGCCCCCACCGCCTCCTCCTCCTCCTCCTCCTCCGCCGCCACCGCCACCTCTGTCCGTCTTCTGCCTCCGGCCCTTCGTATCGTCCCCGCCGCCGCCGCCGCCACCTCCGCCCGACATAGCCATCCCGCGGTCTGTCATGAGGGGGAGGCTTCCGTGGGCGGGGGCGGAGCCCGAAGAGCCCCCCCGGCCGTTCCTTCCCCTGCTCCCGCCGCCTGCTCCCGCCGGCCTCTTTGCCATCTGGATCAAAACAAGATGGGGATGAGATGATATTAAAGGGGCTGCTGCTGCTGCTGCTGCTGCTGCTGCTGCCTCCGGCAAAGACACATGGAGTGACATTGAGAAGGAGGGCGCACTCGCGCCAGCTCTCAACGAGAGGTGCACCACAAAAAACGACCAACGAACGGTTGCAGACAGAGCAGAGAGAGAGAGAGAGAGAGAGCACACGCAGCGGCACGCAGACACGCACATAACGAAAATGACCCCCTCTACTGTGTGCATTTCTTCGCATGATGGGTGTATCACAAGGCCAATGGGTGATGATGGCGTCCGTCAAGAGGGGTACAGCAGTACGGGGCCAGAGGTGCGGTAGCCCCTTGACCATCGTACTCTCCCACCACCGCTAAATTACCACCCGGTCGACACCGCTCGTACGTGCTACATGTGACTACCCCCCCCCCCAGTTGCGGCCGCGGACCCCCCTCGCTCGTCAGCCATGACAGCCCAATAGCTGCAGACGGCGGCGAACCATGCGGTGATGTTGGCGGCGGAGGACAAAGCTTACTATGAAGATGGTGACACCGGGGGAAGGACTGTGAAGGAAGGGGTCCCCTTCGTAGATTTCTTCGCAGCCCTTTCTTCGGCATCGCCACCCCCACAAACGCTTTGTCCTCTGCCGACACCAGCGCGTGGTTCGCCGCCTGCTGCTGCTGGGCCGTCGTGGCTGACCAGCGAGGGGGGCTGGTGGCCGCCGCGGGGGGAGGCGCGGCCGCAGCTTGAGCGGGTGCGGCGGTAGCGGGACAAGAGAACTGGTAGTTGCAGCAGCGGCCACCGCAGCAGCAACAGCAGCAGCGGTAGCAACAGCAGTGACATCGAGATATTAAACGACCTGCAGCAACATCTTGTCAGATAAAAAACAAGGTACCATGGTAAAACAGTAGCACGACCAATCGGAGAACTCGGTGCTAAAAAACCTGCAGTGCGAGAACGTTCGGCAGAGCTGCAATGAATTACACAATCGTGTTTACAACGGTGTTCGTAGGGTTCTCTCCGTCGTGCTTGCCCACCTTCGGCATCATGTCCCCTCCCCCTCCCCCCCCGTGCCCATGCCCGTCCTGCTCCATCTCCCACGGGGCCCCCATGGAGGACATCTGGTGCTGCTGAGTTCTGCCCATTTTCATCCCGTAATTTAACTCGTGTTCGTACCCCCCTCCCCCCCTCCCGCCGCCGCCGCCGTTTTTGCCCCCCCCCCCCATCCCCCTGGACGAGTACCCCTCCGCCCGCGGCTTCTCGTCGTACCCCATCCCCCCGCCCATGGCAGAAGAGTGTCCGCCACCATGACGGCCGTAGCCGCCGCCATGATGGCCACCACCGGCGTTGCCGCCGGGCCCACCTCCCCGGCCCCCGCCGCCGCCCCCCATCTCCCCTCCCATGCTGTCCACCATGTCATCGTTCATGCCGTCGTCCATGTGGTCGTGCATCACGGCGTTGGGCATCGCGTTCCGCCCTCCGCCGCCGCTGCCCCCGCCACCTCCGAGGTCCGCCGTGTCGACGCTAAGGCTTCCCATGCGGGAGAGGGCGAGGTCGATGGTGGGCTCGAAAGGCCGGTCGGGAACGATGACCTTCTGTAGGAAGGACACCATAACACCCTCTTCGTCCACCGAAGGTGCCTCCTGCGATTTCGGGTTTTCGCGCGCGGATCGACGGTTCCGGGATGAGATCCCAGCTAGTATTTGATTCGCAGAAACTCCCAAGGTTGATTTCAAGTTCCTTCCCCGGCTGGTAAAAAAACACGAAAAGTACGGACAGCGGCAGCATGGCACTGGGAGTCCAACCACACCATTTTCATCATTCTTAAGACTATTTGGGCATATGCTGCTTCTCTTTCTCCCGCCTCCTCCCTGCCGGACTGCCCCGTACCCAACAACCTCTTCTCCCCACAACCCATCCCAAAAAAGAAACTTGACAACTTCACACACAGGAGGCACGGAGCCAGGAAGATTTTCCCAGAGCACCCCCACACACCCCCCTTAGCACACAAAGGGCGTTTTCAAATTTCTTACTGTACCCCTTGCACGCAGCACAAAGGAAGAGAGACGACGAGAACGGTATGCACTTGTACGTGAAGGGTATGCACTTGTACGTGAACATGTCTACGGGATGTACCTGAAAATGTCTGGCCGCAGCGACGGCCAGCTCGGCCTGTGAGCAGTCCGGGCGGACGTTGATGCCGTGAAGCTTGCAGTACTTCTGGAGGGTACGATACTGTTCGTCATCGTCATCGTTGTTGCGATAGTGTTGGCGGGAGCGGAGGCAGCGGGGGAGGGGACAGGGGACGGCAGCGGCGGAAGGAGGCGGTTGTTGGATGGAATGCTACATCAACTTGCGGGGACAAAAATCACCAGCACAACACCCACCCACAACATCATAAACTCGAACGGGTAGTCAGCCTTATGTGTTTGTATTTTTTTTCCTAACAAACGAAGAAAATACACAACACGGACGGAGGGCTTACGGGTTTGTACCGCATCTACGTATCTCTCCAAATCAAGTTTCGCATCGCCTGGTGTAGGGGACGCACAACAGCACACATTGTAGCGCTACAGGATCTGGAGATGGGTATTGTAGGCGCTACACATGTGAAAGAGACAACCCCGCCTAGGGGGGAGAATTGTGCACGCGACTGGAAGACGTGCTATGTATCTGCAGCCAGTACAGCAGGGCCAAGCCCGCCTCACCGACCCGCACACACGGACGACGGAAACAAACATTTACCGTTGTGTATTTTTCTTCGCCACGTACTTTGCATGAATATTAGTATTCCACGTACCTGGCCGCCACATACAGTACCAGCAGAGGATGAACATATGCATGTACACTTCCCTTTCATTAAACTCCTCAGTTAATGGACTACAGCGGTTGTGTTCCTGCGCTTGAGCGCCCTCGCGTCTATTTACTCAGTGGCAGCGCTCGCGTGCTAGTGTTCAGGCGGCCGCTCTGTCGGGGCCGCTGCGTCTTCGGTGTTTCTGTGTTTTTTTTAAACATGTACGCCTGACTCTTGACGAAAATTCAAAAATTCTGCGGTATTTCTGCTTCGTGCCGACGGAGGTTCGATTTGCATGCGTTTTTTTTTTTTTTTGTCACAGTCAGCATTGTACGGCAGGGGGAACGGCTGCGACAGGGTGTACCTGACAGACTGGGGCACCCCGGGCAAGACAAGATACAAGAGCTTAAACAGGATAATCAACCACACCCTCCACCCTGTGAGTAACTACATATGTACATACAGCAGGCGGAGTCGTGCCTCCCTGTGTCCTGAACTTGCGTTCCTATGGATAAAGTCCCTCCACCAAGGGACAGTCTACATGTCAGAGCGACGAACGACGCCCCATGGAAAACTGCTGCTGTACATACGTACAGCGAGTGGATCCACGGCCTTGGCGTGAACCATGGCAGGGGACGCTTAACAGCTCCACTGCGACACGCACCAGGCCGCCATATTGGAAAGTCGTGTGGACTTCAGGGAAGCAAGGGTGTGCGGGCTGTGTGAATACAGGCCGGAGGCTGCCGTTCGACAAAAACCCCGCACGAAGTTTGCAGCATACACAATGTAAGACTTACAGCGCACATGCGACCACGCTTGTACTAATGCGGCGGCGTCAGAAAAGAAGAGCCGCAGCAGCCGTGAGTTACACCAACAGCTGTAGCGCTAAAGCTTCTGAGCTAAGTCTCTAACGGCGGTGGCGAGGATGGATGTGGAGACAAACGAACGCTCTCCAAACAAAACACACGCAGTCTTCATCCACACCACAGACACGCCGGATGACAACAGACTGCCGGTGAGCCTAGCTGATTACCAGCGGCGGAGAAAAAGGCACGGGATCCTCCTACTCCGCGCCGTCCAGTGAGACACGGGAACTAGCGCTGGGTGCTGCTTCTGCTGTACGTATGTTGCCGTTTGGGGATGTAGAGATGATGATGCCAGGGACCTGCATAGACCCACCGCTAATTCCGCGCCCTGTTGATACGGACTCGCTGCTCACCTCTAGCCTCTTGAAGTTCACGCAGAGAGTCCTGGGATAGGTCTCGTCTCGGTGGAAGGGGAAGTACGGTCCTGGGGGGACCGTCTCGCGCAACCCGTTCATGGCGAGGGCATCCAGCGGGGGAGCTTTCTAGTGAGACGACCTGGACACAGCAGCAGCTTCGACACGAGTAGAAAGCAGCAGGTAGGGGGGAGGTGTCTGCGAGACCACTATCCGACGACGGATGTATCTCTCGCGAAGCCCTCTCCTTCTCTCTCTGCCTGTCTTTCCGTGTGTGCCTTCCTCTATCTCTGCGTGTCTCTCTCACTGATCTAGCCGCAACCCCTGCCACCCTGTCGCCTGCGTTGTGTAATTCCCTGCGAAGCTCACACACACAGCAGCTGCAGCAGCGGCGCGGCGGGCCTTAGGCTGCGGGATCCATTTCTTTAAAAAAACAAGAAAAAACAAAAAAAATACTGGCGCCTTTTTTTTTGCAAACCCTCAGTCTGCGGACCGCGCACCATCAAGCCGCAGCAGAGAGCGGTGCCGTTGGTGCAGAAGCGCTCTACGCACACCACAGGAGGGGGAGCCACTGGTTGAGAGCGAGGAAATCGCGTGAACGGAGAGCTGCTGTTGATTGGTTCTTTTTCTGTCGAAAGTGTCCTGATCTCTGATCTGTTGTTTGTGTGTGAGCTTTACTGCTGCTGGTTCTCGAGCGAAAAAGGTCAAACTCTCCGACATGACTGCTGCAGCGACAGACACTAGCGCGGCGTCGGCAAGTGTGTGCGCTGGCGAAGATATGCCGTGGATGGTCAACAAGTTCGGAGGGACCAGCGTGGCTAGCGCGGAGGCTATGAGGATGGTGAAGGACATCGTTATGGGCCAGGTCGAAACGTAAGCACCAGCGTTAGTTGACCCAGATACATAAGCCCTCGTTCATGTTTCGAGGCACACCTCAGCTTGGATGCTTCATACAAAAGTGGTTGCCGTACACCACCACCACCGCGCTGTCAATCAGCTTCCATGGGTTGACAATACGAACAAGTTTAACGTTAGCCTGCTCAAAATGGTAACCCGGTTGTTCGCGATTGCTAGTATTAGTAAATGACCTGGGATGACTTAGCTCGTCGTCTTGAAGGTTCGCTGACTCTTGTTTTCCTCCAAAGAACATTGCCCTCGAAAGTAGAAACTGCGGTCTAGCCTTGAGCAGGTCAGGTCGCCATTCTATGCAATCCACCGAACCAACCTTAACCTTCCCTGCTAGATGCAGATGCAGACGGTCGGTTAGTCGTTGCGTAGCACTTGCGTGTGGGAACCTACCTCACTGGTTTGGAATACTTCAACGCTTCCATGTATTCTGCATGCCCCTAATGGCGGGCGTGATATATTCCAATCACCTCATGTGTAGTCTAGAGATCGTGTGCACAGACACCGATCTGTCCGAAGATATTCCATATTCATGTGTATATTGAGACGTGACGACCACCACCACTGTCAGACGACCACATGCGATCTTTTGTCCCGGTACATACCGTAAGAACGCGAGAGATGGCACCGGGTGCGATCGTGGTTTTCGATGTTGCGCTTCTTGTTGATTTGTGTTTTGCCATCCCCGGGTGCAATAACCCCGAAGGGTGGCATCTCACCGATACCGGTGCGGGTTTACGATTGAATCAATTCGTTTTATAGCATCTTGAGAGGCACCCCGGTGCGATCTCTCCGATGGGTGCGATACTGAATGCAGTACCACCACACTACGGCTTATTGACACGTACCAGCGTACCAGCAGCGGATGTACTGCTATGAGCTGTAAAGGAATAAACACGTACCGTACGGCGTGCTGTAGCTCACCGTAGGTTTCCATGCACCCAATGTTCATGGGGGTGAATGCGAGTTTAGCTTTGGCGCGACAATACAGGAAAAACGATGTGGTTCCCATCTGGGAGGGGTACACACGGGTGGTATCACTTTCTCTCCCGCTTCTTGTTCGCTGGTGTGCTTCCCTCGGTCGTTGCGGCATTCCTCGACTTGCACCATGTGATTCTTCCTCCTGCATGGTGAATAGGTTGCGACTTGCGTGTTGTGTACTTGGTTGAGAGTATCCAAATTCCATAGCGGTGGAATGAAAACAACTTCGACTCTTTTCAACGCGTGAATCGCGATGGTACGTTAAAGGAGCGGCGCCCCGATGAATTCCTCACCACATATACAAGGTACCCATTGCATGTACCTCTTTATTTACAGCAGCTCAAAAGAGTCCCGGGGACACGCGCGGAGCCCTCAGTCTTCAACGTGTATCGGCGAGATCGCACCCAGTGCGATCCCACCTTCGATACCGGTGGGGAAATCGAAAATAAATCATGCCGTCTTCCTCTTTCTCCCGCATTCTGGCATGGTTTCTCCGATGGTAATGCCATCTTACCGATCGGTGCCATCTATCGTTACGACAGTCAATGTTGGAAGCAGGAGTATTTGTAGTGCCCGTACCGGAGAGATGTACATATCAGCACCATATGCTAGTAGGCTGCTTAGAAGAGAACCAACCCGCATCCTCAGGTTTCATTCCAAGCAGCTTGATGCTGTCTGTGATGTTGCCAAATAGCCGCATTCTTCGTCCGTAGAGACCTTGAAGCTCTCGAGATCGAGATGTACACAGTTTCTCTCAAAGCACACGCGCTTCTGCACAGTTTGACCTCCAAACGGGCAAAGAGAGGCGCCCGGTTGCACATCACCACGTGCTAAGCAACCACAAGAAAAAAAAAGGGGGGACACTCTTCAGAGAGCGTCGGAATCGGTAAACAGCATGTATACATGAGAACCCAGGAACGAGAACTGACGCTGTAGAACGTGTGCCTGGGATTTTGGAGCTATGCACCGGCATCGTGAACAATCTGCCGATTGAGAGATGAGTTATAGCCCTTTCAAAAGCCCAGAACCAGCGTGCTCTCTTCTCTGTCTCTGTCTCTTGTGTGTGTATCTCTCTCTCTCTCTCTCTCTCTCTCTCTCTCTGCCTGTCTGTCTCTCTGTCTTCTTGTCTTCCTGCCTATTAATTTCTCTCTCTCCGTTTCCCTCTCACCAACCATACTCCCCCGCTTGCTTCTTTCTTACGCTGTCGTCGAACCACGCCTCCTCGTCCTCCTGGTGGCTCACAGGCGAGGCGACGCGGGCAAGATGGCCGTGGTCGTGAGCGCCATGGGCGGAAAGCCCAAGGTCACCGACCTCCTGCTCAACTCTGTTGCTCTCGCGGCTGCGGGGAAACGCGAGGGCTCTGAGGTGTGTTTTGCCGCAGTACCCCGCAACGCGGCGCCGCTTTCGATGACGAGTAGCAACAATGCGCCTTTACAGAGCCCAACACTGCTTACGCTTTGGCAATGGGAAATATCCTCGATGTTTGTTGTGCCTGTGTCCCTTGGGTATTTTGTTTTTTCGTTGTTCTTATTGTTTTCGTCCTTGTTTGGTGCTTATGATGTCTCGCGGGCTGGTGACGACCGTCGTTGTTGCTGGTGTCGCGCTGGTGATTGCTAGTGTTATGCCCGCTGGTGCATGCTGTCGTTGCTGCTGCTGCTGCTGCTGTTGATGCTATCTTTCTCGCCACTGCTGTCGCCATTACCGTTCAGCCAGACTTTTTCTGCGATTCTGCTGATGCTGTCGTTCACATCGTTGTCATCGGTACCATTTCGCCAGGCTGTGCTGACGTCCATTCGTGCTAAGCATTCCCAAGCGATCGAGCTGCTGGGACTGCCGGCTGAGGACAGCGAGCGAATCCAAGCCGTGGTGGAGAGCGATCTCTCCGACATCAGGGTCCTGCTCAAAGCTGTGCGTAGTTGCTGTACTTCCCCGACGTTGCAGCATCGCGTTTTGATGGAGTTCTCCTGGTGGAAAAGCGTCTGGGGAACATGCCATTCAATGAATACCTCGAGCCTTTCGGTGATCTGTTCCCACGCAATGGTGTCTTGCGAATAGCCTGATTCGATCTTGTTTGGGCAGCAGAATTTCGTTTGTTGAAGCCTATGTAGCCTTGGCTTGGCAGAGGACACGAATAACACCAAGTTATCCTTGTTTGTGGTGAGTTGGTGGTTTAAAAAAACAGACTCAAGGGGTCAGTAAATTCTACCCGTTTTTATCAACAATTGTACCGGAAGACGAGTGTTCGAGATGAACAGAATAGTTCCGGTGCAATTTGTTCAACGATTAGCAGGGAATTTGCATCCAACCGTTGAAAATGTTTTTCGTTTTTTTATCGATTTCCATTTGATGCACACTCCAACACGTTTTAGGTGCACCCGATGAACACAAGGGAGGACTCTAGGTATTTTTGTGTCAGTGAAACTAGCGGTTCCCCGCCTTTCCCGCGAAGCCTGCTTACCCCACACGGTGTGACCGCTTAGGTGCACCTGATGAGGCACGAGGACGCGAAGATGAGGGAGCTCGTGAGCGGCTTCGGAGAGGTCTGGTCTTCGCAGATCTTGTGCGCTCTCCTCAACAAGAACTCGGAGGGCCGGCGTTTCTGCTTCTTGAACGCGAGGAGGGTGTTGATCGTCGCCGATCCCCCGGAAGGAGAGGTGCGGACTAAGTTAGGGTACAGTCGTGGCTCGGAAATATGAGGGTGGCATGACAAAGGCCCTCGACCCGCTTATATCGGAGCCCCCTCTTATTTTAGTACCCTCTTGTAGCGGAGCCATGACTGTGCCATAGTTTGCATAAGACCCGCCGCCCCCAGGACAACTTTTCACAGTTCGATTGCCTCACGACGAAGAGAATGCCGGAATCAAACGATGCTACTTTTTGGGAAAGCTCTCGACCAGATGGCTCCAACGCCGCCATTTTCGGCATCCATCACTCTGCTGTTGCTGCAGACTTGTATTCGAGCTTTGAAAATCGGTCCATGGGGTGTGGCATCTTATGCGGCCCAACGGTTGGCTCTCCCGCTGCGTCTTGTGCGGTGCAGGGGAGTGCGTTGGATCGACGAATTGTCTCGCCCTTGCTCTCCTTGGTGGCCCCCGACTATCCCGCCCTTAGTGCTGCTGCGGTCGTCGTTGCCAATGATTTTTTTTGTCTCGTTGACGCTGTGCTTGTGTTGTGTGTTGTTGGTGTGCTCGTCATTGCTGATAAAGCCTACTCGGCCTTTTTCTTCATGATCCTATTCTTCCACAGGCGATGTCGACATCTCCCGGCCCGGAGATAGACTGGGACGCATCCCTCTCTAAGCTTGGAGACTTCCTCTCGTCTGAGGAGGCTAAGAGCTGTCCCACGGGCATCGTCATCACCGGCTTCGTCGCATCGACCAAGGCTGGGGTGGCCACCACGCTCCAGAGGTGCTTGTTGTTGTTTTCTTTCGCTTTTCGTCGCTGTTGTTGTTGTCGTTGTTGTCGCTCTTGTTGGTTGTTGCTGTTGCCGCTGTTTTTGGTTTTGTTTGTTGTTGTTGTCGTTGTTGTCGCTCTTGTTGGTTGCTGTTGCCGCTGTTTTTGGTTTTGTTTGTTGTTGTTGTTGTTGTTGTTGTTGTTGTTGTCGTTGTCGTTGTTGATCGTTGCTACCTTGGCAATAGCAGCCGTTCCGGTCGGAGTGACACGGGCGCTTTCCGTGGTCTCAGACAAACTACCCAATAAGAACAGATTGGAAGAGTCAAGAAGGAAGCTAAGAGGTGCGGAAGATCGAGAACACCCTTCATGAACCTTTATCTTTAGTCTTCGATGATGTTACCAGCAGGGGGGGTTGCTCGCACCTGCTAATTCCGAGAACGGGTTTGTAATCCTATGGCTTGCAGCTTTTGCATCTGGTACCTCAGTGGTGGCAAAGCTCGATGCGTCACCCCCGGCTATCATCTAGTCGCAAACGGCGAATGATACACGACGCGTAAGAGGAAGACGTTCTACGTCAGTAACGAGTCTACGTTTTTTCGGTGCTTCGTAAAAAAGTGTGTGGTCGGCAACTCAATCATTCGCCATGAGGAAGACTTTCTTCCTCAGATGTTACTATTGCTCCCGCTTTACGATTCTTCCTCGTCGTTTATCGGCCGGCGACTCAATTACTCGTCTTCCTCCTGATTCGCCATGAATACCATAATCGCACCCACTCAAAACCAAGCGTGTGATTGACTAATAATTGTCACTGCTGTCCCTGTTTCTGTGACTGCTGTGGTCTCGAGGAAGAGACGGGAGCGACTATTCTGCGAGCATTTTCGGGAAGCTTCTGCAAGCTTCGGCCGTGCAGATCTGGACAGACGTGGACGGCGTTCTCAGCGCCGATCCCAGGAAGGTTCCCGAAGCTAAAGTGTTGCCGGAGGTGCGTGACATGAAACCGTGGGCGTGGGATGTATTTTCCCTATTCCCTTCGAGTCGTGTGGGGTGGAATCATTTTCCGATGCGGCACGTTTTCTTTTACGTTGATGAACGATGGGTGGATGCTTGGGCAGCGGGCAACAGCACACAAATCACACCCCGCCGCCGCGCGTACTACGTGTGTTGCAGGAAAACGGGAGGCAATGCTTCCGTGTAGATCGGGGGCTAACCCAACACCAACACCAATGATACCAGCAACTCCCCAAAGAGATTCAGCACGCGTTTGGCGTACCGTTTCATCCACTCGCGTGAGTAATTCTGCGTGGCAAACGATCACATTCGTGACTCCCAAAGCCATGAAAACAAGCATGTAGTCTTACAGCAGTACAGTCCTTCCCACGTACGGCTCTTGTTTTCTGCAATCGTTCGCGCATACCTGTGTCATCCGCCCGGTCGTTCCGTCAACGCAGGTGTCGTTCAACGAGGCGGTGGAGCTGGCCTACTTCGGCGCCAAGGTCATCCACCCCAAGACCATGCAGCCCGCCGTCACCGCGGGGATCCCCATCTTCATCAAGAACACCTTCAACCCCGCCTTTCCCGGCACGAGGATATTCACCTCCAGCACGGCAACCAAGGACAGGAGACGGGTGGGTGCGGACCACTGCTGATTTTTCTTCTTCTTCTTCTTCTCCATCTTGTTCTGCTCTCGTCTACAGCAGCTAGCTTCGATACCAGTGCACCACCCTAATCTTGCACAGCAGCTTCGATGCGTACACTGCATCACCCTATTCTTCTCCCTCAGTGAGTCTCTTTTCTCAACGTCCCCTGTTCCTTGCGACTCTAAATTACCTCCCTCCCCATGCGCCCGCCTCAATTGTTTAGTGCATTTGCGGCTTCAGCACGATGGACAACATCGCCCTCCTCAACCTGGAAGGGATGGGCATGGCGGGACACCCCGGGGTGGCGGCGAGGCTCTTCGGAGCTCTCCAGCGCGTGGGGATATCGGTCATCCTGATTTCTCAGGTAATCGGGGGCGTACGTACAGCAACCAGAGGCATACCTCGGAAGGACTTGACAATGCGCACGGAAGAACTCTGGTCCCGATTGTTGTTTTCGTTTTCGTTTGTGTTACGTGTCGTCCGTCGCGTCGAAGAGGCGTCGTCTGACCGCACCACTCGATCGAAGCCCATCCCATCCTATCCCATCCCATCCCATCCCATCCCATCCCATCCCATCCCGTCCCGTCCCGTCCCGTCTCCGTCCCGTCACATCCAATCCTACCCCTTCGTACTCCATCCCGTCCTATCCCGTGCCACCCCATCACACCCCGTACCGTTTCCGTCCCCATCCCATTATTTTCTTGCCCACCTCACGCAATAACTATTCGTCTCGTCGCGTCGTATCATACCCCCTGGTTGTCCAGGCATCGTCTGAACACAGTATCTCCGTGGCGATAGAGGCAGCGGGGGCCGCGGTGGCGAAGAAGGTCACGGAAGAGGCGTTCGCCGTCGAAATCAGAAGCGAAACCGTCGCCGTGGATGTCATCAGGTACATATGTATGTAGTTCGCGTTGTGAAGAGAGAGAGAGAGAGAGAGAGAGAGAGAGAAATGGTCGCGCGTGTTTTCGCGCCGTTTGCCGCGACGAAGCAACGAACAAGCAAACCGATCGCCTGTTCGACAGGGTCATCCCAATGAGGCAACGCTCGTGCGGGAATCGGGGTATGTGTTCGATCTCCATGCAGGACAAAGGGAAACACGCCAGAGAGCTGTAACATGAGCAGCTCGTGGAACGTCTGCGAGGACAAGTCGTTACTATCACGAGCACCCGTTGTCGCCGTTGTGGCTGCATTGATGATATATAGCACAAGGAACTGCTGTTGGTAGCATTTTCAAGAGGTGGTGGCATGTGGCGTGTCGTTGTTGCCGCTGCGGCGGACACCACGCTATGTATATGGGATGTCTTGAAGACGTGTTTTGGTGGCTTGCATTTACTCGCGTTCGTTCACAACAGCGCTAGCCAGTCTCAAGACTATTGGGTGGGCTAGAACTCCCCAAGTGTCTCTCTCAGAGCTGCTCGTTGGACTATGGCAGCACACCACTCTACTGCTGCTGGTGTTGCCGTGCCAGCCAGCAAGGAATCTGGACTTCCTTAAGCCACCCGTTCGTGCTTCGGGCCATTTCCGCGCCATGCCGTTTCCATGCCAATTTCACTCCAATTCCATCCCATACCCATACCACTTCCACGCCATCTGCGTTGCATGCGGTCACAGCCCGTGCTGCATCGTGGCCGCCATCGGAGACGGTATGGGCCATGCCATTTCCATGCCAATTTCGCTCCAATTCCATCCCATACCCAAACCATTTCCACGCCATCTGCGTTGCATGCGGTCACAGCCCGTGCTGCATCGTGGCCGCCATCGGAGACGGTATGGGCCATACCGTTTCCATGCCAATTTCACTCCAATTCCATCCCATACCCATACCACTTCCACGCCATCTGCGTTGCATGCGTTCGCAGCCCGTGCTGCATAGTGGCCGCCATCGGAGACGGTATGAGTCACACCACAGGCGTGTCTGGCCGCTTCTTCGAGGCCCTGGGGAGCGCCAGCATCAACGTGCTCGCCATCGCGCAGGTACGGACGGGAGTGTCTCGCATCCCGCTCCACCTTGCTTTAGTTGGTGGGAGGATTCACTCATACTCACTCTGTGTAGGGACCCCCACCCCCCAGCAGCTTGCCATAATTCAAAGACGACAAGACCACGTGCGTCCTTCAAGGACGCCCAACCTCGGTAACCCACGCAAGCCTGTCCTCGGACCTGAACGTGTATGCCAGCAATATGCATACCCCACCGGTTCCTACGTACGTGCTTTTCGTGTCTTTCGCAACGACCTGAGGTTTTTTCTGCCCCTGGCTCTCTGAAGTTTCCCGAAGCCTTCTTTGGTAGGGCTGCCGGAGGCGACGCGGAATCGCACGGCAGCAGAGGGTTGGGGTTTTACGGCACGCGCTTTTGGTCTCTATGTTACATGAGCATAGGAATTTGTTTTGGGTTGTGGTTTGTGGGATGACTAAAACCTTCACCCGTGATGCTGTACGTCTCTCTCTCTCTCTCGCTCGCTTTGTGATGCCGAACGGTTGGTCGTAATCGTTTCTTATCGGCGTCATTGGTGTGACGTCATGTGTGATGTCACTGGTGAATGCCATGGGCGATGAGGTATAGCGCCGACCTGTGCTGCTTGATGGGCGAAACATCCATCCTTGTTTTTGACGCGTGGTGACAAAATGGCAGGGGTGCAGCGAGAGAAATATCTCGTGCGTGGTGGAGCAGCGGCAGAGCGCCAAGGCTCTCAGGGCGGTGCACGCGGCCTTCCTGTTGTCGCACTTGGTGAGACCAGCCAGACTATTTATTGATGTGACGAGACGTGCATCCATCGTCGTGTTGCGAGGTTTTCAACGCGGAAGGTCGTTAGCGGTGTTCAGAATCCCCCACCTTTTACCCGGATCGCCTCCCCGTTCGACGGCGTCAGCCACTTGATTCTATTGCAACAACCCCCCCAGCTGCAGAAGTAGTAGACGCATACGCCATGCGACAAAGAGTTGAGTAGAAGTAAACGACACAAGAACCCCCCCCCCCCGTGATACGATGTTGGCTTCTAGTATCACTGGGTGTGTTGTTGTGTGCGGAGTGTGGCATCCTTCGTCGCCCTACTTCAGTACTTGGTCCGAGAATAGGTTTGGTTTTTGGGCTCGTGTTGAGCCTTGAAATCATTTCCGCCGGCTGCGGTTACGTGTGGGGTGCGTGTGGCGTTGTGTCGTACGCGTTTGAGAGGGTAGCGGGGCTGCGAGGAAGACCGACCTAGTGCTCTGTACATGTAGTTTGTCAACATTTGTATGATCTACACGCAGCCTGCTATCACTTTCTTCAAGCTTCTTCTCAAGAACTTGACGCGATATTATAGTCCAAGCCAACCTTCGTAATACCCTATTAATAGCGTTGCACAAGATACGAGATGCTTGAGTGGTGCCGCGTTTTTTGTACTCAAGCAACCAGCTGATGACACTCTTGGCCCTTGTCTTTCACGTCGTTGTTTTCGTCATCGTCATTGTTGTCTGTCAATGTCCAAAATGCGTTTTTAAGACGGTGAGCGTGGGCGTGGTCGGGACGGGCACGATCGGAGCCAGCTTGCTGGGCATGCTTGTGGAGCAGAGGGAGGTTCTCCGCACGCAGTTTCACCTCGACTTGCAGATCAGGGCGGTCGCTAACGCGGACAAGGCAAGTGCAGTATAGTAGTGGTTTCCTGGAGAAAAACGACAACACCATAAAAACGACATCGCCAACATATCAACCAGGCATACATCTACCCCCTCCTCCTTTAGAAGATCATGACCTACCTAGAAGTTTTGTAGCGACCGGCCCAATCAACTAGTCTCACCACCTCGATAACCCAGCCAAAATACCCTTTCCACCCCCCCCCCCCCCCCCCCCCCCAGGGGCTTCCCGCTTGGGGGATGTGAGGGCCGGGCCCGGGAAAAACCCGGGGGGTCCCGCCCCGGTTTTGGGGGGAGGGAGGGCAAAGGGCTAAACACCGG